GAGAGCCAGGAGGGGCTGTGGGGCGGCGAGGGCTGGGTGGCCGGCTACCGCTACGCCCGCGACGAGAAGGTGGGTGCGCGGGCGAGCGCCTTGGGGCGGGCCGGGGGCGCTCCGCGCTCGCCTCCTGGCTCCATGTCTCCTTCCTTGGCGCCTCCAGCTCTCAAGGCGGGTGAAAAAGGTCTGGAAGCCGCAGATTTTCCATCGCGAGTTCTACAGCGAGATCCTTAACAAGAAGCTGAGGATCGCCGTCACCATGAGGACGCTGGACCAGATCGACAAAGCTTTCGGCTTTGACTTCTATATCTTAAAGGTTTGCGGGATCCTCCGTACCTGGTTTCTGTGAGTCCCAGAGTCCCATCTCTGGTCAGTGCACGATGGCGATGACCTTAAACTGTGCAGGCACTCCTCTGAATGATGCAGCCCCTCTTCAGAGTGATGGTGCGATCGGGGTGGCCCTCAGGGCCGCCTGTAATGCATGACGCGGACTGTGGCATTTCACCCCTTCTCTTTACAGACCCCGAAGTCTGAGTTGTGTTCCAAATTGGGCATGGACCTGAAGCGCACCTTGCTTTTGAGACTGGCACGCCAGGACCCTTCTCTCTACTCAGATGATCCAGCCAAGAGAGAGGCTGTTTATAACAAATACAAGGTGACTGTCTCTCCTTTGCCAAGAGTGCCTAGGAAGGCCCAGAGGTGGTCTCTTGCTGCAGGATACTTTCTGTGCTTTGATCATCTGTTCTTGGCAACAGGCTTGGTGCAAGAGGATGATAGAGAGGGGAGTGCTATCTTTGTACTTTTTGGCTACAGTTACATCCCTCTTGGGAAAGAGTTTCCATTCCAATAGTCTATTCTACTGGCAGGTAGCTTTCCCTGCTAGAAATTGTCCTCAGGTATTTACCCATATCTGTATCTTTGCAATTTCCCTTCTGGTTTTAGCCCTGGCCCTTTTGGAGATCCTTTTCCACATATTGCTTTTGCTAAGAACTTACTGGGTGGCTTTATACCAGCCACACATTCTTTGACTCAACCTTTTCATGTGCATTTTGGAGACATAGCACTGACTTAGTTTTAGTACAATTGGGGAAACTTTGATCTGTCACATATTTCTGAAGTTCAATTCCCAGCCACCCCAGCCAGCACAAGCAGCAAGAAAGATGCTATGAATTTTAGATAAGCAACAACTAGAGAATAGCAACTTCTCCAGCCTAGCTTTTCAGAGGTTTTGTACAAAGGTTGCAATCAGTAAATGCATTAAGTATTATTCTCCATCTGTTGCTCAACTGCCAAGGAGCAAATGGACAGTCTGTTTCTGTTAAGGGTTGGGCACATTGAAGAGTGCACTTTGAGTTATGTTATCCAGGGGGATCATCCATGTCATGATTGCATTAAATAGCTTCTATTCTTAAAAAATAACCTGAGCTGCAGGTTGCAGAAGCATTTAAATGCATGGATCCACTTTCTCCACATGAAGGGAAAAGGTGTTTCGGGACCAGTCTGACTCTTTATCTCCTATTCATTAAATCTCTGTAGTGGTAACATTGCTGAGCGTGTTAAACTGAGGTTCTGTCCTTGGGCTTTAGGTAGGATTGGAACTCCTGTCTGCAGCCATGAGCATTTTCTGTTAATCAGCTGAAGCTTTGGTCAGTGAAGTGGAATTATCTGTCAGCTATAGCATGAGATGTTTTACCATGATCATAGTTATTTGGCTTCTCAGCAAGTTTGTATGCTGCAGTTTAACAAATGTAACTTTGCACACAGGAGTTTGTGATTCCTGAAGAGGAGGCTGAATGGATTGGACTGAGTTTGGAGGAAGCTGTAGAAAAGCAGAGGGTCTTGGAGAAGAAGGTATGTGGCTTAGGCACTTTGCAGAAGGATTGTATCCGGGGGGGATTAGTGGGCCAGTCCTTGTGGTCCCTTGGTTGTGGAATATCTGCCTAGAATATCTACTTACCCCAACCTATAACCAGTTGCATTCCTGATCACATTTCTTTCCACTGCTTCACTTTATCTTCTGGGACCTTGTGAATGAGAGCTGGCAGGAGCCCCTCAGTCAGGCTGAGGCCAGTCTTCATGAGGTGCTGTTATCAAGGGGTCAAGGGGTATTGTAAGACTGTATCTGTCTATCTTTCCTAGGACCCTATTCCCCTGTTCAGAGTTTATGCAGAAGAACTGGTCCAGCACCTCCAAAAACAACAGATATCTTAACAAGGAACTGGGCTAACCTGGGCTTTCCTCAGTTTGGTTTATCTCATGCACGTGAAAGAAAAGGACTGGATACCAAGAAACCTTTTGAGGCCCCATTGGGTGAATCAGAGGAATGGACTGAGAAAAGTCTCTGTTAATATTTGGTGTTTGGGAGAGCCATTCACCCTGAGCTGCACCATCCCTTGTTCAAAATGCTCAGTATTAGCACCAATAAAGAGAGGATTGTTTCATCTCCTGCTGAGACTGTGTTTTGGTCTTCATTCGCCGAGACTTTGTACCTGCAACTTGCTTTGGCACCTTAGATGTTAGCCTGGACCCTGAGCAAAGGGTGTAACTGACACAAGGCTCCCTCAGTAGCAGTCTTTGTAAAATAAACTGGGGAGGGGACTAGTGGCTCCTTTGGGCATGTCGTTTTCCTGCTTTTTGGCCAGAGAGCAAATATTTGCATTATAGAACAAAACCGGCAAAGTCGTTGCTATGGAGGGTAAACACACCACCCTTTTAGGAGTAGTTTCTGTCTGCAAGATACTTAAGGCAGGTCAGCGAAAGGAAAAGAGTATCCCATCGATTGCCCTGTGGCTGTGCACCCCTGGATGGCGTTCCGGAATGTTGTGCAGCCATCCCACCCTTTCATCCAGGACCCAACCATGCCCCCCAACCCTGCTCCCACCCCCCTGACACAGCTGGAGGAAGCCCGACGGCGGTTGGAGGAGGAGGAGAAGAGGACTGGCAAGCTGGCTGCCAAGCAGAGGTAAGCAGTAGGGAGGCTTTCCTGGGAGGAGGGGAGGGAAGGTGCCTCTCAGGTGGTGCCCCAGGAAGCCCTTACCCTCTCCTGAGCCCCGCTCTGCCCTGGGCCCCACTGTGCCTTCTTTTGAGTATGGGGCCTTGAGGGGAAGGAGCTGGGCCAGGAACACAAGGAGCGCCATCTGCTGCTGCTCCAGCTCCATGTGTCCTAGGCCATCTCTGCGCTGCCTCCTGGCCCAGGGGATGTCGCTTGCCAGGAAGATACCCCACCCCACCCCACCCCGTGGGCTTGGAAGGTCAGGAAGCCAGAAGATGAGAGGCTGGACAGAAGGACCGGTCACTTTCTCTGCGTCCCAGGCCACGGCCATGGTGTGAAAACTGTAGAGGGTTGATGCACAAACAGTTGGAAAAAAGTTATGGAACTTTGTTTTTGTACATGATAACTGCAGCGAGATTATTGTATGCACTAATACAGAAAGATTCAGCATTGCCCACAATGGAGGAATGGTTGGCGAAGATAATGGAACTTGCTGAGATAGCTAAATGGACTTTTCTGATCAGAGGAAAGACGGTATCTACGTTTATTGTGACTGGAAACTCCTTATAGACTTTTTTGTGTGAAGCAGAAAAAAAATGGACTTATGATTTATGGTTTTGATGATTAGACAGGACAGATTATCAAAAGAAGAGAGTTATGTTGTAACTATAGGCTAAGAGGTAAATTTATAATTGTACTTAATAACTGCTGTAAGGAAGATTGGAAGTTATTTCTTTGTATCTTTTTTTCTTTTCTATTTTTCTTTTTCTTTTTTTCTTTTCTTGCATTTTTAGCTCTCCAGTTTCTTTTTTCTTTTTCTTACTTTATAGTTTATAAAGTATTCGTTTTTAATCTTTTTTTTTTAAGCATGTAATAAAAATTATATACCCAAGGAAAGCCCCTGTTGGGGGAACTGTTCCTAGTTGGAAGCTTGTCTCTTTGGCAGCGGACAGAAGCTCCCGATTATCCCCTTCCCCCCCTTGTTCCCCTCCCCCAAGCTCCTGAGGCTGGACAGGCTTGGTTTGTGGCTGGGAAGGCCACTGAGGTGGATCCCTGGTCAGAGGAAGTAAGAGCTGCTTGTTCCCACGCGGCGCTGAGGAAGCTGGTGTCTGGGTCAGTTCTCAGATGGAAAGAGGCCTTCAAGCAAAATGGGTCGGTGGGCCACAGGGTAGCTACTGAGAGTTTTCCTCTCTTTTTTTGCAGGCCATCCCAAGGCTAGACGCCACAGGTTTGGCGGGGAGGGGCGTCGGTGGAGCAGCTTCCTGAGTTTTCACCTTCTGATCGTTCCCCTGCCCCGTTAAGCAGCCCCCGGGACTAGAGGCCCGGTCCTGCTATCTTGGGAGGCACCTTTTCCATGTATTTATTGAGTAAATGTATGTTTCTCATCTGGGGGGGGCGGAGGGCGCTTCAACCCCAGCCCCCAAAGGGTCCCGGAGCCCGCCGTCCAGGGCCGCCCTGGAGCTCACGGGCCTCTCACGGCCTGCGCGACCCCACCAGAGACGGGGGCAAAGCTCGCAGGACTCTCCCTGCGCGGCAAGCACCTCGCCCGCTGAGGGGGCGGCGGGGGGACTCGC